GGTAGCGCCGCCGCGCTCGGCCCCGGCCCCGGCCCCGGCTCCGGTCCCGGTTCGGGCCCGTCGAGGCCTAGCGGCCGCGCCGCATCCCCGGGCTCGCCTGGCGCCGCCGGCCGGGGGAGCCGCGCGGAGGGCGGGGGGTGCCATGGAAACAGGGGATATAGGGGATGTGTAGGGACTGGCCGGCTGGGGGGGCCTATGGAAACAGTATGGGTATAGGGGATGTGTAGGGACATCCTCCCTGTATGGAATAAAGCTCCCTCTATTCCAGAGCCAGGAATGCCATGAGCTGGGAATGCCGTGAGCTGGGAATGCCACAAACTGGCAATGCCGTGAACCAGGAATGCTGTGAACAAGGAATGCCGTGAGGCGGGAATGCCGTGAGGCGGGAATGCCGTGAGCTGGGAATGCCGTGAGCTGGGAATGCCACAAACTGGCAATGCCGTGAACCAGGAATGCTGTGAACAAGGAATGCCATGAACCAGGAATGCCGTGAGGCGGGAATGCCGTGAGCTGGGAATGCTGTGAGGCGGGAATGCTGTGAGGCGGGAATGCCGTGAGGCGGGAATGCCGCTCCCGGCTCTGGCCGGGTCCCTGCCGCCGCCGCTGGGGGCTGCTGCGGGGCCGCGTGCGGATGGGCACGGAGCCGGGATGCGCGCGCAGCGCCCGGTGGCACCGGCACCCACCCGGCTCCCAGGGGATGCTCCCGTGTCCTGCGGGATGCACCCTTATCCCAAGGGATGCACCTATATCCCAAGGATGCACCCCTATCCTGGGAGACGCACCTATGTCCCAAGGGATGCACCCCTGTCCAGGAGCAGGGACCTGTATCCCAAAGGATGCACCCCAATCCAGGAGCAGGCACCCCTATCCTAAGGGATGCACCCATATCCCAAGGGATGCACCCAGTGCCCAGACCACCCTGCGGCGCCACGTCGGCACCTTCCGATGCCTCTGGCACCAGGATCACCCTCGTGGAAATCCTGGAAAACCAACTGCCTCCRGCTGCCGAGCCTGGGCTCTCCCGGGTTTCCCAGCAGTGCCTGGAAAATTCTCCCCCAAATCCAGATCCTTTGGGATCCCTCTGCTCCTGGACTGCTCCCGGAGCATCCCTGTGCCCCTGCTGAGGCCCAAAGTCGCCTTGATTTTCCCGGGAAAGCAGTGGGTTAGAGGGAGCTGGGGGCCACTTTGTTTTCCAAGGAAAGAAAATAGTTTTCCAAGGAAAAAATACTTAGAAAAAATTTGAAAACTTCAACAAACTTCGTTTTCCAAGGAAAAAAACGGGATGAGCAGCGGCCGCTCCAGGTGTTTCCTTTCCGTAGCCGCTCGGCTGCTCYGTGCGCAGGGACATCCCAGAAATCCTAAATTGCTCCCAAATCGCCCCAAAATGAAGGGATGCGKCCGGAGCGGCTCCTTGGAATCCATGTGTTTAATTAAATATAGGGCCCCAATTAAGGGCGGGAATGGGGCAGGGACACCCCCCCCCGCATGCGGTGCCGATCGCTCCATTCCCGACTCCCAATCCAAGCACTTTTCCACTGCGGATCCCCCATTCCAAGAGTCTGGCTGCTTCCCGGCAGGGATTTGAGCCAATTCAGGCCCAAACGAGCCCAAAATGACCTGGATTGCAGCATTATAAGGAGCATTGGGAAGAAGGAGCCGGAGCCGCGGGATCTGCGCGATTCCGGGAAAACCCTTGGCAAAATCCCGCCCGCCTCCAGCCTCGCAGCAAGCCACAAGCAGTGCTTAGTTAAAAGGTTTATTTAACTTTGGAATTTGAGGTAAAATACTCTTTTTTTTTTCTTTCAACTTCCATAACAAAATACAGAGCTATCCGATACCCCTGGAAAAAAATATGTATATTATACATATATTTCTCTAACATTACATCATATATATATAATATATATATGCAACCTTTTTTGTGTGGTTTTTTTTGAAGACTTTATAGAAATCGGGACGTCTAAAGGCACTGCACAATGGAGTCGTTTAAGGGCTACTTTACATTTTTATRTACATATAAACACACACACGTGGAATCCTGCTCGCAAGGGAGAGCTCCAGCCAGCCCCATTCCCTGCCCGTGTATGCATCCCTACTAATCCCTGCTGAAGAAATTCCAATTGGAAAAACATGCTTTAGGAAAAGTGATTCTGTCTTACAAAAACTGAAATTCTAGCGGTAAATACTTGCTTTTTTTCCTTAAAAACACTCTAAAAAAAAAATCGAACATTTATTTTCAAACCATCTGATTATGTCAAACCCAAAGAAAAAAAGAAATTCCTTGTTAAACCCACCCGGATCCGGAAGAAATAAAATAAAAGTTACGTTCCAAACCAAAACCATAATTACGGAATAAATAAAAAAAAAAAACAACCACCAAGGGACAACCCAGCGGCGCCCGTCAGCCCGCTTAATTAATGAGTTAATTAGTTAATGCTTCCAGAGGGGCTGCTCCGGCCCGGCGGCCGCGCCGGCATGATCCCGCCGGATCCGGGGCGGGAAGGACGCGGAGCTCCGGGCATCTCCGGCCGCCGTTCCCGGTTATTCCCGGCTGCTTTTTTCCTTCCTCCGAAGGGAAAAAAAAACTGGGATGGCAGCCGCTTTTCCAAGGCGCTTCCCTACGGCTTCCCTATGATTAACAAAGCAAAAAAAAACGGATTAAAACATTAACATGCGCTCGGTTAATTAATACAGGCGGACGCGGCGCTTCCGACCACTGAAACTCGACGAGTCGGAAGGTTTTGGCACATCGGAATATATAGATATCTATATATATATATATATAAGATTTCGCTTCCATTAAAATGTATTTATAAGCTTCCTCCGCGGAGCGGCGGGGAGGAAGAGGAGGCGGCGCCGCCCTCCGGAGAATCCGCGGCCTTTATCCCTGAACGTGGCGCTCCCGCTCGCAGTGCAATGGCTAGGAGAAGCAAACCCCCAAATCCGAGCGTTTTAAAGCCAAAAAAATGACAGTTCCACCTGGGCGACGTTGGCGGCGGTGGGGGGGGGTTGGTTGTTTTCCTTAAGGAAGTGCGAAAAAGGACGATTTTTTTGATTTTTTTTTCCGTTTTTCCCGAGGGGAAGCGGCGTTCCCGGATGCGGGCGGCGGGATCGGGGGTCCCCTGGGAATCGCCGCTCTGCAAGGCCTCGTGTTGCTAGTTCCTGAGTTCGCCCCCCGGTTCCTCTCGCTCCGGGGGGGGCTCCCTCTTTCCCTGCTCTTCCGCATCCCGCCTGRAATCCGCCGGCATGTCCGTCTCCCGCCGTTTTCCAGCCCTTTCCAAGGACCGGCGGGAGCGTCATCCCCTACAGAGTGGGGAGGGTGGCACCCAACCCTGTGGAAACAAATGTGGAGAAAAGGAGCGGATTCGGAGCAAATCCGGCAAAGTCCAGAGCGGCTCCTGGCACATCCCGGATCCTGGAATGCCGAGGCCTCCGGAGGCTCCTCGTGTCCCTGGCCGTCGAAGGGCTCGCGGAGTTAAGGCATGAGTCAAAGTGATGGGGGGGACAGCACACAGAGGCGGGCGGATGGAGCGGCGTTCCCGGCGTTCCTCCGCTAGCAACTCACCCCCATCGCTCCAGTGTTAATCTTCCAAGCGCTCCCAGCTCCACCCAGACCGTTAGGAGGGGGAAAAAAACAAAACAAAAAAAA